TGCTTATGGCACTTCATCATCCCAATATTGTGACGCTTTATGATTGTTATCGAAAGGGAAAACATTTATTTCTTGCTATGGAGTTAATGGATGGAGGCAAATTGACAGATTTACTGATCCCATCGGAGGGAGAACCAGTAGAATTTACGGAGGCACAGCTGGCAACACTGATACGAGAGGTACTTCGAGCTCTTCGGTGCCTCCATAACGCTAGATGCGTCCACCGCGACGTAAAGTCTGATAACGTTCTCTTATCTTCAAATGGCGAAGTAAAATTGGGGGACTTTGGCTTTGCCACACTTCTTACTTCTCCGGGAGGGATGCGCAGAACACTCGTTGGGACACCGTACTGGATGGCTCCTGAAGTCGCAGGTGGAAAGGCGTACAATGACAAGGCCGATGTGTGGAGTGCTGGAATTCTTTTTTTGGAAATGTGTGATGGACAACCACCGTTGATGGGCATGAATCCCATGCGAGCGCTTCTTACAGTGAGCACGGGGCCACCGCCAGTTATGAGAACGGCGAACCGTTGGTCTTCACTATGCAGAGAATTTGCGTCATTCCTTTTAGTAAAGGATCCTGCGCGGCGTCCCAGTGTTGATGACGCCCTAAGACACCCCTTTATTGTAAAAAAGGCGGAACCAACATGTCGGTTTGTGGCAACCATCCTGCAACGGAGGAAATAGTTGTTTTGGACCACTCTACCAAATGCTTGATAAACTCTTTTTTTTTGTTTGTTTTTTTGTTTCTGTCGTAATGATCTTAAAAACCACTATGCGCACCTGCAATTTTTTCTTTCCACCGTCTCTCTCCACACATCAAAGCACCACACTTTTTTTGGCACCTTGTGTGCGTAAGCTTTTCGCTGATACCCTGGTATTTGCCACAATGCACCAGTTGTCTATTTATAGAAGGTATACATACTTTGTTTTGTCCCTCTTTTTTTTTTTTTTTTTTCTTTCTTTCCCTCTCTCTTTGTTACTTTTGCTTGCTGGGGGCTTGTTGGTGCCGGCAGTTAAAAGGTAAAGGAAATTTCTTAGAAGACGACTTTTTTTTTTTTCTTTCTTGTCTGACATTTCTACACGACAAACAGAGAAAGAGAGAGAGAGTGTGGTCATTCTCAGAGAGCCATGAGGGGAATTACCCAGATAGAGGCGGATCCCGCCGATACAACCAGATATCTCTCTCCGACAGTCCGGTTTCGTATTCCAGACGGTGAGTCGGAATCCCGTCCCAAGACTGCATTGACGACACTCACACTATTGGGAGTCATTTACACTGCAAGTATCAGCGGGGGATATGGATTGGAGGAGTCTGTCAGTGCAGGAGGACCTCTCTTGACGATAATCTTTCTATGTCTTATTCCATTTTTATGGGGCATACCGGTGTCATTGTGCGTTGCAGAATTATCCTGTGCAATCCCGTCCAACGCGGGTCCTATTATGTGGGTGAATGTTTCATGTGCCTCGTGGTTTACATTTTGTACTGTCATATGGACGGCTTTTTTAAATTTTGTTGACAACAGCATATATCCGACAGTTCTTGCAGATTATTGCGCGACGCTTCTGAATCTCAATTTTTTTGAAAAAACTCTTATAAAAGTGTGTTTTTTGGGCATATGTGCAATAATAAATATTGTGGGGGTTCAAGTCGTCGGAACATTAAGTGTAGGAGTGATGTTGGTGACCCTTCTACCCTTTCTCTTGATGTTTCTCTTGCAGCTTCCTTATGGGTTTGATTGGGAGCGAATAGGTTACGTTCCAGAGAATATCAATTGGTCAGTATTTCTCCCTGTTGTTGCTTGGAATTTTTCCGGGTTTGACAGCGCGGGTAATGTCATTGAGGAAGTAAGCAATCCTAATCCAACCTTTATTCGGGCTCTTGGACTCATGATTATTTCTGCCCTGGCCACGTACATTCCTCCTATATTAGTGGGAGCCAGTGCTGAGGCTTTGGCGGAAACGCCATTTGATGAGTGGGATAATGGCTTTTGGGTGAAGGTGGGGGAGGCCGTTGGTGGGTATGCGATGGCTGTTGTAGTGACTGTTGGGGGCGTTATTTCAACAGTGGGGCTCATGACAACACTTTTGGCAACAACTTCTCGCTCTTTGGCGGGCATGGGGACACTCAACGCATTTCCATATTTGTCTGGATGGTTGTCACAGTATGACCCCAACTATGGGACACCGATTAATGCCACACTTGTTAACGCAGTCGTTACTTGTCTTCTTTCTGTGTTTTTTTCCTTTCAAACTTTAGTGGAGCTGGACCAAATTTTATATTGTTTGCGCCTTATTGCGATTCTTGTTGTGTTCTTGGAACTTCGGTTTAAGCAGCCTTTTCTAGAGCGTCCTTACAGGGCCCCAGGAGGCCTCATTGCGGCGTCACTTTGGGGTGGTGTGCCGATTGCGTTCAGTGTTGTCCTCATTGTGGTATCGATGTTTGGGAGCGTTGTACTCTTTTTGGGCACGGTTGTAATGGTTGTTGGAACGATGGTTATTTCCTACGTTGGGGTGCGTTTCTTTAGGCCGGAGGGGTTTGCGGGAGAGTTGGTTGAGGAGTACGAAGATGCCGACATGCAGACTTATGGAACCGTCTTAGAACACGAGTCGAATGAGTGGCGAAAAACTCATCCGAACCACACATTTATCGACTGTGAAGTGTCGGAAGATAAAAGCGGACAAAAACATAATTAAAATTTCTTTTTCATTTACTTATTATTGTTATTATTATTATTTTTTTTTTTTTTCTAAAGGGGATGCTGCATGAAAGATGAGGAAGATGAAAGAAAGGTCATATGAAAAAGTAGGTCAGATGGAAGGGTTGGTGAGGGTCAAGATGGGATTGTTTTGTGCATGCAATTTACCACATTTATTCCCGCCGCCTACCAAAACCTCGGTAGGAAATTCAATTAGTGTGGTACTGGGCTCGCCAATTTAACAGCTTTTTTTTTTTTTTTCTCCCTTTCTTTTCCATGCTGCGCTGTTTGACTTGTTGTCGGGTTTTTTTTTTTTTTTTGTTGTTGTTGTTGTTTTTCTTTGTTTCGTTTAAATTGTTGCCGTACTCTGAATAAAAATTAATGTTTGTTAATTTTGTGTTTCCGTACCTCCTCCTCTTATCTCAGCCGTATGTATTATTATTGTTGTTATTATGTAGCCGTTTGAGTTCCCGTGTTATATTAATGGTGGTTTGCACCCTCGCGTCTCTCTTTTCTGTTCTTACATCCGCCGTTATTTATTTATTCATTTATTTATTTTTCTAACGGGTACCTTGCGGGAATTTAAGCAACCAAGCAACAATACTGATAAAGCAAGAAAAGGAAAAAATAATTGGCAGCTATGACGGCGAAAAAGCCTTGGGATGCACGTTATCTCAACCCGGACATTCCCCACACAAACTCGTACTATCTCAAGTGTCTGGGCGGTGGTGTCATCTCGTGCGGCCTGACACACACTTTGGTTTGCCCACTTGATGTTGTAAAGTGCAACATGCAGGTGAGTCCTGAAAAGTTTAAGGGCATCTTTTCCGGCTTCAAGGTGGTCCTCTCGGAGGATGGCTGTGGCTCGAAAGGCATATGGAAGGGCTGGTTGCCCACCCTCTTTGGGTACTCCATTCAGGGTGCATTTAAATTTGGCTTGTATGAGGTCTTTAAGGATTTGTATGCTAACCTCGCCGGCGAGCAGGCAGCAAAGCAGTATGAGGGCCTCATTTGGCTTGCGGGCTCAGCCAGTGCCGAATTCTTTGCTGACATTGGTCTCTGCCCGATGGAAATGGTGAAGGTGAAGGTTCAGACCTCTCCTAGTGGAACGTTTCCCACCGCCTTTGGCGCCGCTCTTGCTGCAATGCGAGCTGATCCCAAATCCGGCTTCCCGTTCAAGTCACTTGTCCCGCTCTGGTCCCGTCAAGTCCCGTATACGATGGCGAAGTTTTACTTCTTTGAGAAGGTGGTGCGACTGTTCTACACGTATTTCTTTACGAAACCAAAGAATGAGTACAGTAAGGCAACACAGCTCAGTATTACTTTTGCCTCGGGTTATATTGCAGGTATTGTGTGCGCTATTGTTTCGCATCCTGCCGATTCCCTTGTCTCTGCCCGTGGTAAGGCGGCAAATGCAGGCAAGGGCTATGGTCAGATCGCCGCCGAGATGGGATACGTTAATCTCTGCACCAAGGGGCTTGTGGCGCGTATCCTCATGATTGGCACGCTCACCGGACTGCAGTGGTGGATCTACGATTCTTACAAGAGCACGCTTGGTCTTGGCACCAGCGGTGGCACTGGTAAGAAGTAGTGTGCTTGCGTGTCTCTCCTCATTTTTTTTTTCTTTTTTTTTTACCTTCTGATGTTGGGGGAACGGGAAGAAGAGGCGTGGAGCGATGATAGAACGTATGAAGGCAAGAAGAAAGGAAACAAGAATGTGGTCACAATGATATATATCATATATAAGAGCGGAGAAGCGAAAGGGAGTTGATTTTTCCGTTTTTTTTTATTTTTTCGTGAGGCATTCTTCTTAAGAAGGGGAGGAAAAAAAAAAAAAAAAAGAAGAGAATTAAATAATTTGTAAAAGAAAAATAAAAAAGCAACAAAAGAAGCGAGGAACAAATGCATGTAAATAATAATAAAAAAAAAAATGTAGGAGCTTTTTTCTTTTGATGCATATCGGCTGGGTGAAGAAATCATGTAAGGCACGAGGCGAAAAGGAACAAAAAAAAAAAATGAAAGAGTTTTTTTTCAACTCTTTTTTTTCTTTTTTTGGTGTAGAGACGAGTGGGTGAAAAGTTGTTAGGACCACGTCGATGTTATCCCCTGTCGCCGCAGCCTCTGATGGATTTATGAATTTACGCGCAGTCCTGTTCCGTTTCTTTTTTATGGTGTGGGATTTTTTCTTTTATTTTGGCTTTTGCTTGTGGATTTTTTGTTGTTGTTGTTGTTGCGGGAGTTGCTGTGCTTGGATTAGCCGCCATTCCCCTTTTTTTTTTTTTTTTTTGGCGAGGAGGAGGACCGGCGGCGAAGCATGCGCCTGTCCGACACTGCTTTAAGTGATACGGAGCGGTACGCGGTTTGGTGTGAACAAATACGGGCCCTTTTCGGTGTCAGCGGTCGCGAGGAGGAGGGCAGAGAGGTGCTGGAGGATGAGGATCGGCTATTCGCTGGCGGCGTCAGAAGTGGGATCAGCGATACGGGCGCGAATAAACATCCAAAGCGAGGAACGAGGGATGCTGATGGTGGAGAGTTCCCGTACTGCTTCTACATGCGCATGCTCAGCAGCGGGAAGGGGGAGAGAGCCCCAAAAGAAGTGAATGCTGAAGCCCAGCGCTACTGTGGCGACACTCTTGGTTGTGGTTCTGATAGTGATGGCGTCTCCTTTTTCTCTCGGCAACAACGGCGAGAGGTGTTTGTGGACGAGGATACGTTAGCCGCCCGAATTGCTTCAAATCTAAACACTTATGCACGTCGACTTCGAAGGGAACATTACGAGGATGTCCCTGAAGTACCGGTGGTCGAAGTCAATCAGTGGACCTTCCGTGATGGCAGGGTGGAAGCCTTATCAGCCAAGGTGAATGAAGAGCTTCACGAACTGCTCATGTACGTTCGGCGCCGAAATTTGTTGGCGGAGCAGTTACGTCGTCAGTTAGTGCACACCAAGCAACTTCTCCTTTACCAAAAAGAGGCGACGTCATGAAGCATTCACCGCTTTGCCCTCAGACATGTTACACGACTGGGCATCCGAGAAAATATGGAGCTAACCAACGCTTCATGGAAAAGCCTTATTATTATTACTATTTCAGTTTGGTATTGTTTTTTGGTGCTTTTTTTTTTTTTTTGTGCGCTGCGCAAAGGAGCCCAACGACTACCACGTTGTGATTTCAAAACGAGCTTTTTTATTGTAAACTGAATAATGAGTTGATTGCTTCACCTGTATATGCGTGTTGTACATATTCATCTGAGGAAGGGGATGCTGTGTGCAATGAAGCAAGCTGTCGTCTTCCTTTGTCATCTTCTTTTTCGTTGTGTAAGGATAGAGTGGAAAAGGCCTTATCCTGACAATTATTCCGGGGCAATTGCTGACGGATTTTTTGACGGACGCAGAGCTAGCGGCTGATTGATTTGTGTGTTTGTTTGGTAAGGTGTGGGTTGTCTTTTGCCTTACGGCCGCGAATGTCAAATGGAGTATCCGGGCTCTGCATTTGTGGCGGCGCAGGCGGAGGAAAGGAGGATGGCGCAAGTTGCCCGGCGGTCATACATGCCCTCGTGGATGGCGGACCCCTCCTGGCTGAAGTCCATCGAGGTCCCCCGAGAATACATGACGGGGTTGTCCTTTGAGGAGCTGAGGGAATCCGTCCGTTTGACGTTTGCATCGCGGTTGTCTGTCATCCAAAAGGCAGCTAGAGAAGACACCACCCCGGTGCTTGCAGAAAGTGCACGTCGCACCATGTCCTCTTGGGCCGAAAACGATAGGAAAAACGAAATTGCATCGTCTCAAAGCTCTCTGATGTCTCTGTTAGCGGATGCAATTAAGGCAGTAACACAACGTACACCGTGGGACCCAGTGGATTGTGGAACAGAGATGCGAAAGGAGATGCTTGCGGTTTTGCTTAAAAGATTTCTTGATCGGTCCCTTGATCCGGGTGCTGTGGGAATATTTGCGAAGAACGTCCTCCGTCGTGCCTCCACCACGGATGTCGCAGAAGAGCTGCAGTACCTTTACGTAGCCTTCACGCATGACAAAACTTGGAATGGTGAAGACCCATACAGACGGTTAGAAAATTTTATACATTTTGCAGACAATGAAAAGTTTCAGGAACATTGCCTTGAGGAAGTGAGGCGACGACTTCATATGCTGAATGTAGAATTGAATGGGAAAAACAATAAAGAAATGCATGCCAAGAAGGTTTGGGAAGACATTCATGGGCCCCAACGTGGCGAATGCTTTGGCGGGTCCATCACACTCTCCCTCACTCGCGTACATCTTAGTGGTATTTCCGGGAGCGATGCTTCTAAAAATGTTGGCGGTGCGAAAAAAAATCTACCAAAACGCATCAAAGCAATTTGGACTCTGCAACAGGAAAGTCATCGTGTTGCTTCGGCAGTTGTGCCGGGCAAAAGTACTTTGAAAAACGGCACGTACACGTGGCAACCCAATAGTCGTGCCACATTGATGGTTCCGAAGGGCGCCCGTGAGCATTTCAGGAATTATGCCATTGTTCTTGAGCTTTTTTTGTCCCAGACGTCCTGTCTTTGCTCCCCCTCACGAGGGAAGCCGTTAGCCTCCGCAACAATCACCGTAGACGACGCTCTTTATGCGAGTGTAGCACGACCGAACTCCCCACTGCGTACTTCTGCTGCGTCGTCTTTGAATGATGCGCCCAGTAAAAGTGGCGGTTGTGAAAATGAGCCCTTTTCTGATTGGAATGTTGGAATTCGGGGTTATCATTTCTCTTCCGTCTTGTTGTCACAAGCCACCACCTCTCATAAAAACGAATATCCATATAGTATTGAAAGTGCAACGACCCTGTGTAGTATGTGTTGTCTTAACAATGATCACAATGCACGACCCCCTCCAATCAACCTAGAGGAAGAAGAAAACGTCACCGTACCAAAAGTGGGATCCGGTAAAATATCTCAAGATGCATGGAGTAAAGACCATCACAATATGTTTTTACGTCTAGTTGATATTTTGGGTGATATTGACGACATTGGTGTGGCAATTATTAAGGCATACTGTCGCCGCTACTTGATTCACGGGGAACTTGAAACGGTTGCCCTGTTAAGCGCTGTCTGCACGCACTCCAACTTGGCGGACCGAAATTCTCGGGATCTATGCACCAATTCCGTGGCCCTGCTGGTAAAATACCGTGGTAATATGACGACACATGTAACAAAGCAGCTTGTAAAGGAGTCACTTGATGCAACTTATTCTAACGTAATTGATACTTTGTTATCTTTAGAAGAAATGAGCTCGGGGTCATTAACATCTTCTTCGGCCTTTAATCCGCATGAGGCGGGACGAGTGGTAGAGGAACTGAAGAATATTCTTCTTCTCATTGATAAGGACATGAAAATCAACGATGTCATTCTTCAGGAGGCGCAACGAGATACCAAACCCTTGGTAGAGGCGTTGGAAAAATTGGATGGACGTGTGTTGCGTGAACATCGCCGTGGTGTGGTGCGTGAAACCGCGACCGACCTGTTCCTACCGGATCTTGAGAAACGAGAAGATGCAGCGCAACTAACCGGCAAAGCTCATTGCCTGTATACGTTGATTACGGATGTAACTGAAAGATGCAAACGTGCCTTTTCCTTTGCCAAAATGTCTGGGTCTTCTTCCGTAATGGCTGTTACCATGTGCCGTATTGAAAGCATTGTCAACGCCATGAGTGTCCCACTTCGTAATGTTGTGACTCGTATTTTAGCGTGCCTTATTCGCGCACCTGAACCGGATCCCCTTGGTGATACGCTTGGATTTCTTGTCTCCACATACGGGTTGGTGATGGATCTCGTAGGTGTTCTTGATCCTGAGGATGGAACGGCGTCCATATGCCGTACTTTAGCAAGTTGCTTTACAGATTTCTTGTCATCTTGGTTTCCCTTGTGTGAAAGTCATATTTCTGCATGGATGTCGAGTATTGTGACGAATGAGGCACTGGAACCTCTTATGCGAAATACGGTGCATTTCAACCACTCCCCTGGACTTTTTCAAGATTTGCTTCAGGCTCTTTTTGCGGTTTTTCTGCGTGTGTTCGCATGGAGTGAGCCCCGTCAGCATGAAATGTACGCCGTACATTTTTTTAGGCTTGTACAAACATTAGGAGAAGCATTCGTTGATGCCGTTGTTGCACGGGGCCGCACCAGCTCGCAGTTAGAGGAGTGGTTAGTTTGCCTGAGCAACTTGAATCGCTACCAAAAAATGGTGCGGGAGTTTGGGGAAAAAGACGTCACACAGCAACTCATTCCTGTATTGTGTGACACTGAGAACTTAATGGAACACCAACGAAGAGTGATTGCGGAGCAGGCAAGAGCGTCAACAATGGAGACAAAGGAGGAGTTTGAGAGGCACATTGGAAGGGTTTTGGAACAGTCCGTGCTGAGTTTTCTGTCAGATCTCACTGACGCAAGGACTTTAGAAAAGATGCCTGTGACGTCTTCCGTTATGAAGGATTCTGCTCATCGCTTTAAAATATATGTTGGGATGCAGTTTCGGACAGCCAAAAATAACCTTGACGATGAGCTGTTTGTTGAATTCCTCAACGAAGTAGTTGTACGATCGTACTATGGGGCATTTCACTCTCTCGCGCTGCGGGAGGGTAAACGACCACTTCCAGAAACTCATGTGGCGTATCTGCTCCATCTCATGCAAGTTCTTGACCAGGAGATAGAGTTGCTGGGCGGCAACCTACTGCACACGGAGCCCCTCACCTCGCGGCAACGAAGCGGGCGCATACTGACGGCACTTTTGGGGCAATCAAGCCAAGTGCTGGTCCAAATGGCCAAGACGGAGAGGTTGGATAGAACTGAACGCGTGCAAGTAATGCTTCTCTTGCGCTCTCGCACAGACGGCATTGCCAAGCAGTACTTCACGACGTCTTCTGATAAATGATTTGGTTACATTTGCATGTTTATCTTTTTTTTTTTGTTTTGTTTTTGTACCTGTGTGCATGTACATGGCTTTTGCTCTTGTTTTATTTATTTTTTTTATTTTTTTATTTTTTTTGCTGCGATTGTTTATTATGATTGCTATTCTTTACATTTCATTCGGTTTATCACCGTGTCTTTCCTTGTAGGATTGTGTCTTGTTTTTTTTTTTTTTTTTTAATTCCTTGTGGTTGTTGCCTCTACCCACCCACCCACCTCCACGCACACAAAATACGTGCGGAAAGGAAACTTCAAAGTCAAGGAACGCGAAGAAAAAAAAAAAAACTCTACTTTTTGTAGACGTTCATTGCTTGCACGAGTCAATCCGAGTTGAGTGACGAAGAGGCATCGCGGAAGTGGGACTGTTGAATTCTAAGAGAGTGGAAAGCAGCAGGATGTTTTATGTTGACGCGTGCAGCCAAAACTACCGAATGCCCAACTCCGCCCCGGTTTTTTCCCAGGGTTTTCCTCAACCGAACCGGGCACCGTCTTTGGTTTCCCCTAACGACGTTCAAAATTGTACCAATGATGGCCTGGTGAATCCGCATCAGGCACCCCTGTTTACCGTCTCCCAACAGGGTTCAGTAGTTGCAGCAAGTGTTCTTCCACGCACAGTGTTGTGGACAGCGAACGGGATGTACGGCGTAACGCAGATGAGGGAAGGCCCCGAAGAGGGAGCAACTCGATTCGTCCCATCAAAAAGTCCCGATGGAACACCCGTGTCAGCGATGCAGTCCATGTTTCTTCCGCCGATGCAGCAACAACAACAACAACAACAACAAGCTTCCAATTGTCCTCTTCTCTACATTTTGACGACTGTCGCAGTGCCACAGACGTATCCGCAGACCTCTCTACAAGAGCAGAAGAGCCAACATGTCACCCCTGTTACGCACCAAATTATTTCAATGAAAGGCCCCAGCGTTGCACCATCGCAATCCATCGGCATTAACACTCTAAACCCTTCATGTATAACGAATAATTCTGACGCCATGCAGACATGTGGATCTGGCAGTAAAGTGAATGTCAATGTGGTGTGTCGCCATTTCATAAAAAGTTGCTGCAACCGCAGAAAGTGCCGTTTCCTGCACACGCTCAACGAGGCCCCGCTCGCCAATATTTGAGGGATGTGAGTGCGAAAAAAGAGGACACGAGTCGGTCATGGCGTCGGGGGGTGACCTTATCACTGTTTCTGGGAATGACCAAGGAGGGGGCAGGAGGAGGTGGTGGTGGAAGGTGGAAAAGAAAAACAATAAAAAAAAAAAAAGAAGGCGGTACTAAAGAAAGGTTAGGGTGGAAACAGTGAAAGGGAACTGAGTGACGAAAGAGATGCGCCGTCCTTGTGTATTTTCCATCTGAAAATCGGAAGAAAAAAAAAAAAAACCGAGGCAGTTTATCAAAACAGAATTGGGACAAGTTCATGTTTTTGTTTATTTTATTTTATTTTTTTGATTTTTTTTGTTTTTGTTGGGTTCTTAATGAAGATTTTTCCTTTTTTTTTTCTTTTTTTCTGTGGGTGTGTGTGCCCGAGGGGGATTGGCAGCCACGCCCACACATGCTGTGGCTTGTGTACCCCTTCACGCTCGTCTGGCGAGGGGGAGCGAGGCCCAACAAGAGAGAGAGAGAGAGAGAGCACAACGGAGGAGGCAAAGTGGAAGCCCCCACTCCCCCTGTCGTCGAATTTGTTTGGGCAAAAAAAGAGCGCAGCAGCGAGAACAGAACAGAAAAAAAAACAAAAAAAAAAGAATTTAATTGAATCAAAACATGAGAACACATTTTTGACGGAGAAAAAAAAAAAAAAAGGAAAGAAAAAAATGGTTAATAAACCTGCAGAAGAAAACAAAACAAAACACACACACAAAAAAAAAAAAAAGGAAAATAAAAGAAAAAAAAAAGAGAAGAGAATAGAGAGGAAGAGAAGAGAGAGTATTAAAAGTGGAAGAAAGAACAGTTGGAGAGTAATGCCAGGTTCATACTCCATCCATCAATAAACATTTTTGATTGTCCCCAGTTGGGAAGGGGTGGGAATGTGTTCAGCTTACTGCGTTATACAATGTGTGAAAGGTGTAAAAAGAGAATATACATGTATACATATGTATATTTATGTATGTATATGGGTGGAAACATACATAATAAAAACGATGGAATGAAATGCGCCTTAGATTTGAATCTCGTACTCTTTCCAACTTTCAATTTGCATACATGAAAGGGAATTGAGGGAAGAAAAGAAAAAAAAAAAAAAGAGTGAGGGAGATGAGGGGACAGAAACAACGAAAAGAGTGAGTGGAGATAAATAATAGGGAGGGAGGGAAGGAAGGGAAGGGGGTGGGGCGCTAACGATGATGATGATGATGGAAGGATTGGTTTCATTCCTCTTGTCTTTGATTTGATTTTACCACCTTTTTATTCGTTGATGCCCAAATCTCCCTTTCTTTCTTTTTTTTTTTTTTATTTTATTTTATTTTTCCTTTTTATTGTATGAAGGGGTGGGGAGGAAAGAGTTCTGCACCTATTTTTTTTTTTTCTTTGTTTGTTTGTTTTTCTCTCTTTCTTATTGGGCGGGGACTGTGGAGAGGTACGCCTTTTTGTTTTTATTTCTTGTTGTTGGAGTTAACTTGCTTTTGTGTTGTGTGAGTCTTGTGCTTGTTTGTGTTTGCTGCTATTTTTTTTTTTTTTTTTTTTGTGTGTGTGTGTGTCTTTTTTGTGTGTATTTTTTCCTTGTGAGTTTTTTTTTTTTTTTTTTTGCCGTATGATGAGCCCGTCCCGCTTGTCTTCCTTTTTTTTTTTTTTTTTCAAAAACATGTTTGCAGCAGCACCAGCACCAGCTCTATACGTGTATGCGGCGGGGGGAGGGGAGGGTACATGGACGCACGATTGCATATGCGCATGACTTTCTACTTTCGGAGTTTATTATTCTTTTTTTTTTTTTTTTATTGTTGTTGTTTTTGTTTTTATCTCTTTTATTTTTATGTTATTTTTATTGAGGGGATGGGAAAGGGAGGGGGGCTTTCGCACATCTTTTCCTCATTTGGATCACCAACTACTTTCTTTGTGGTGGTTATGGCTGTAGCGATGACGTGGTAGGAGTGAGGCATGGCTTTCTATGCAATGATGTATTCACTGTCAGTTCTTGTTTCTTTTTTTCTTTTTTTTTTTTTTTTTTTTCTTGTGTGTGTTTTTCTGTTTGATTTGATTTGATTTGGTTTTTATTTTTATTTTTATTTTTATTTTTTTTTTTTTTTACAGTCATCATTCTTTTTGTTTCAAAAGTTTATTTCCATGGACATTCATTCTTTTGTTGTTGTTTGGAGAGGGAGGGGGGTGCACGAGCATCGTCGATGTCATCCAATTTATCACTGGGAATAAATTAGCGGAAAAGTGATGAGTTTGGTGGGGGAGCAGGACGGAGTTTGGGCGAGAGTGGCGAGTGCAGTAGACGATATTCTTTTTTGTTTCCTGTTTGTTTGTTTGTTTGCTTTTTTCCCTGTCTTATGTTGCCCAGCTCTCTGCTTGGTTGTGCTATTGTGCACTACGCAAGCGTGTTTTTTTCTTTTTTTTTTTCTTTTTTTGATTTTTATTTATTTATTTATTTTGGCTGTTCTTACTGCTGCGTGTATGTACATGTGTTATGTGTCTTTGTGTGTCCTGTTCATGGTGTTATTTTTCCTTTGGGTGCGTTTTTCTTTAATTGCCGATGTGGGGACATGTCTGCCCGCGTTTGTGTGCGTCACGCTCGGCTGCGGCTGTGGCGACACGTACAAGGCACACGACGGGGGAAAGACGCGTGCACGTCCCTGACACAATTGCACCCCACCGGCGACAACGCGCGCGTACAACTGACGCGCAGCGCATCACCGGGCACAACACAACGCACCGGCATAAATTAGAAGACATTTTACATGACGAGGGGATGAGAAACGAAGGAATAAAAGGTGAGGGGGGAGAAAAAACAAACAAAAAGAAAAAAAGAAAAGAGAGAAGGTGAAGAAAACAAAAAAAAAATTTTTTTTTGGTGAAAGAGGAATAAAATCCAAAGAGAATGTGGCAGAGTGGAGGGTGAAATAATAATAAATAATAATAAAAAAGTAGGAAAAAAAAAGGAAAAAAAAAAGGAGGAGAGAAGAGAAAAAAAGAAGACTCGGATGAGACAATCAAAAGTAAACATATGGCGTTCTGCATCTGCCGCGAAAAGCCACATTGAGGGATGAGTGTGAATAAGTGTGCGATGAAAAAAAAAAAAAAAAAAAAAAAAAAGTGGCACCGTACACTGCCGACGAGGGCACATGCTATACATATACAATAAAATACATTACATACGTATATTTATATATATTATTTTTTCCGTTTTTGTGTGCTGTTTGTCAGTGCGTAAAATTAAAAAAAAAAAAAAAAAACAATCAAAAATAAAAAAAAAAAAATATTATTTGTTTGGTTTTCTTCTTTCTTTCTTTCTTTTTTTTCCTTTCTTTTTTTCTTCTTTTGCACTTTTTTATGCCTATTTTTATCTATTTCTTTTATATATATATATATTTATTTTTTGTGTGTGCGTGTCGCTGGCTTTCTGGCCACTGTTTGTGTGTTTCTTTTCTGTTTACCCCTTTTTTTTTTCTTCTTTCTTTTTTTTTTTGTCATTTTTGCTTCACGCAACCACCCCTCCTTCAGCAACATGCCTTTTTTTTGTGTGTGTTTATTTGCCTGCTCGTGTCTCCTTTTCTGCACATTTACTGGCGGTTCTTTTTTCCTACTTTTTTATTTTTTATTTTCTGCATGCACGTGCACCTGTGCGTTGCAGCCGATGCGTCTCCGCAGAGACGCACAGAAGAAAGAAAAAAGGGGCGGATATTTTGTGTCGACACGTTGTAGGGAGGGGGAGTGGGGCGGGAAATATGATCACTTCGGCCCCATTGCTGGCGGTGATGCTGCTTTTGTTGGCATTAGGGAGTCCATGCACCCGGGCGGAATTCCTGGGATGTCATTACGGCCTTTCCTTTGACCCTTCCATGACCTCGCTGGCGATAACGACGTTTTATGGCAGCACCGGAGGCCGCGAGCGATAGCCCAAGCAGTTTACCAGTGGCTGGGAAACAGACGAACCGTGTGCCTGGGACAACGACGCGAGGCCCCCATCCCCTACCCGCGGGTCCTCGCTGTGTGAATGGAATTCAACACATGTCACCCCCGGTAGCAGATAGGGGGCCTCCTGTTTCTCGAGCATTGCAGTGGCGAAGCGGAGAGCATAATTTCACGGGAATTCAAAGCCTTCCAGATGGCAAGTGCAGTGGGTCTTTTCTCCAACGAATTGAATGGAACTGTATAGGACACGAGCCATCACTGCTATATGCGAAAATTGGACTTGGCGCCCAATTCATTTATCGGGTCATTACCAAAGTCATTGTCGACTGTGAGAAGCCTCGTTGCGCTGCTTCTTGAAAACAACAAATTTTCAGGTGAGACACCAGATTTGTTTTCTCTGCAGAATTTGCGACATTTCTCTCGGGCACAACAACTTCTCCGGCCGTCTAGGCGCATGGGTTTTACTAATGACGAATTTGGGATCGCTGGAGCCGCAATACAATCGCCTGGGAGGTCCTCTTTCAGAGCTGCCAGGGAAAATTACGCATGTAAACTTTTCCGGAGGCAACTTTTAAGGCGATGTTCCCAAGAGCTACGGTCGACTGGGGTACCTGAGGTACTTCAATTGTACCGATTGCAGTTTAACCTGCCCGCAACACTTTTTTCTTCCGTCATCTCTGTTTCTCGTCATACTGCAAAGGCAACTGAAGGAAGAAACGTAAACGAAGAGTGAATTAAAATTGCTTGGGCCATAAAGAAGTGTTGGTGTCCTCTTTTTTTTTTTTTCTTTTGTGTGTGCGTGTGTGTGAGTTATTCTTTCGGGTTTGTTTCACACAGAAACAAACACGCCTTTACTCTGTGTGAGAATAGGGAATGCGGAAGTCGTTTAACGCGTTATTTGTTGTCATTAACGTTACTTGTGCCGTTTTTGATCCACTCCTCCGAAGTGAGAAGAAACAACAAAGCAGTTATATGATGTTATCGTGGTATGTGTTGCATCTACCCAATTAAAGCATGGATTTCTATCGGTGCCTTTTGTGTATATTTCTGTTGTTGGGAATCACCGCCACTGTTTCTTTTCCTTTTTTTTTTTTTTTTTTTTTTGGTTGTTGCCACTAAATAAAGGATCTTACGTGTATATTTAGATAAAGATGGACGCAAACGTTCCGGCCGCATTTTTGGCCAGCCTCGTTGGCAGCACAGTGCACGTTAAAAGCAAGTGGGGCCCGGTGTACGTTGGGACTTTGGTCAGTTGCGATCCATACATGAACCTTCAGCTGCGGGACACGGTGGAAAAGGCAAAGGAGGAGACGGAACTGGGAGAGATGCTGCTGCGGTGCAATAATGTGTTGTACATACGTGAGGTGCCACAATAATAAATTATCATAGCGGTGTTGTGAGACCAACAAGAAGCCGCGAGGAAAGGAAAAAAAATAAAAAATAAAATAAAATAAAAAGAGGGGGAGAGGGAATATAAAATTATTCCCATTGAGTTGTTGTCACGGAGACGATGCAATCGCCACAATTAAGAGGAACAAATCAAATTAGATGATATTTTCCCGTGACGCGGTGGGGATAAGGATAGAAGGAAATAGAAACCAAACGGCTACGTATAAATATGCATGCCCATGTTATTACTGTTTATTTAAATATCCTTTTTTTTTTTTGCTTACTTTTGTTTTTCTTTTATTTATTTATTATTATTATTTTTGTTGTTTGGCTTTTTCTCTCTTGTTTTTTTTTTTTTGTTGTTGGTGGTGGTGGTGCGTGCACTTGTGTGGTCACGCTGCCGGAATAAAAATCCTAACAGCACCACAGCCAGTGATAATCGTAAGGAGAGTTTTCACAAGAGACTCATCACAAATAAGCGAAATGGCGCACATTCCAACCAAGTGGGCGGAGCGTAAGGATAAGCTTTATGTCACCCTTCAAGTGAGCGGTGCCACAGATGTCGAAGTGAAGTTTACCGAGAATACGATCAGCATTACCGGTAAGGGCATCACGCCCAAGGCTTCCGAGCCACACGGGTTAAACGACAAGATCACCCTCTTGAAGGAGATTATACCCGAAAAGTCCAGCTTCAAGGTTTTGGGCGTTGCTATCCAGGTGTGTGCAGTCAAAAAGGAGGAGGGATACTGGAACAAGCTTGTGAACCAATCAAGCAGCAGCACCGCGAATTGGCTTTCCGTGGACTGGAACCTTTGGAAAGACGAGGACGAAAATGATGATGGCCCTGCGGGCTTTGGTGATTATGGTGATCTTTCGAACATGATGAACATGGGAGGCATGGGAGGCATGGACGGCATGGGAGGCATGGACGGCATGGGAGGCATGGGAGGCATGGATGACTCAGACGACGACGATGAAGATGAGGCTCCAGCTCGAGCGGCCGACCTGCAGGACCTGGACGCGAAATAGAGAATTCCCCCTTGTGTCGTAGAGGGGAGAATAATTTAAGTGAAAGCTCACGGAAAAGGAAAAGAAAGGAAGAAGAAGAAAAAAAAATGGATAAAAAAGTGGCTGACAGAACGTGAATGGGAAAGAAGGGAGAGAGGAATAATGTCTGGTGTGGAGTCGGGGATGCAGAAGGAACGAAAATAAAAAGGTAAAAGATCTCATACCCTGAGCATTACCTCAGACAAACAAAGAGAAGAAAAGGGTCAGTTGAAAATTTATGGATGCACTACTTCATTCCCCATATTTCGTGAAGTCTTCGCCTTCATTTTTTTTTTTTTTTTTTGAAACTATTTATTAATTTATTATTTATATTTATTTTATTATTTTGTCTATCAACCTATGAAGCAGGATAAGTAAATAAGCGTATATATATATATATATATATACGGGTGTCTGTAGGGGGCTATATGAACCAGGCACGTCATGATCACATGTAACCCACGTGCCTTTTGAAACACACCATCTCTGTGATTCATGTTGTTTTTCTTATTATTATTATTATTTTCGTTGTTGTTGTTGTGATTTGTTTTGTTTTTGAGCTCTGTTCTTTTGCTTTCCTCAGTTCCACGGTCACTGGGGGAGGAACACACTTTCACACACACACACACACAAGCACAGAGAAAAAGAGAAAGCGTGGGGAGTGCCCAACAGGAGGCGAAGGGATAGATTGATCAGAAAAGACATCAACAAAGAATTATAGTGGTGGATGGACGGGTATTCCATTCTCGAGCGCCTTGACGCGTTTTTTAGTGAAGGGGAAAATACAGATGCGATTGGCAATTTTTTATCAGAGGAGCAGGGTGTCATGCAGCTGTTGGGCCAACCCACTGACTCACAAGAGGCGTTGGAGTTTTATTCCTTGTTTAAGAGGTACGCCGTGGTTGTGGATAAATTGCTTAACGCATTTATTGAGCGAGAATCCAAATTAGGATGCGTCATCGACTTGGAGCAATTGGCTGCTGCAGTCATGAATGAGTGGCATCAAGAGCAAGATTTCTGTCGATATGTTTGCACGGCATATATTGCTGGTGCGTTGGACTTTGACTCCTTCAAGCAACTTGTGGCTGATGTCAATGCGATAACCGCCTACCCCTTCGGGGATGAGTCTTCAGGTGCCGACAGCGTGACTGAGACAAACACACAGGAAGAGGAAATATGAGGAGAATATGCCCTTTCTTTAGGCAATCTGGCGGACTCTCACCGCACAATTCTCTTGTTATTGACGGTGAAATTCCTCGAACCCAAAATCACCACCATACAGAGATAATATATATAATTTTGTGTATTTAGTGAAATTAAGGAATTGAGTGCGTGCGTGTGTGTGTGTTTGTGAGGGAAGAAGTTACCGGCGCGTCGCCTAATGGATGGAAACTTTTAATATCCTATTGTGAATGTCTCCTGATTTTATGGCTTGAAGGGACGCATTTGCCAACCATTTGTACACCTCAATGTAGTGAAAAGCACGCGTGCTTTTTCTCTTTGTTCTTTCTGTTAATTTATCCATAGTTATCTATATATCTGTCTGTTAGATACGTGTCTCCTGCATGGATGGATCCACTGCATTGCTCATTTGCCAATGGTGGTGGCTTTGCTGTGGACTTTAATCCCATAATTTGTCTTCGTTTGTATCGGCGCCGTGACATTGCTGCTCTCGCAACAGAAATCACAGATGCATTTGACCTCAGTGGTGTGGTTGTACCCCTTCGACCCGTGACGGACACGTACCTGGAGCAGCTCGGCACATCACAAGAGCTTGCACGTTGTCTTTCTGAACATGAAGAGCCTGATTTGGTTAGAAGTTTGCAGCCGACGGAGTTTATTTCCCCTTTACTACGCGTGGAAAACGTTGTTGTCGCCACGTCACTTGGCCTATGGAAAACGACTCGATACACCAATGAAGTTATTGAGGCTGCGCGGACCCGTTTTTTGCGTGGCGTGGAAGAAAAGCGTCGGTCGAAGAAGAGCAAACTTCCCATCCGACTTTTTTTCAAGTTTCTCAACGAAATGCTAATTGACGTTTTGGTCATGTCTACTGACAGGAAGTCGGTTTTTGTGTCGTGCGCCAGTAACACCCGTCGCTTGGCTATGGGCGCTGTTGCCGGCGAAAAAGGTGCATCCGTACCGAGTTTTCGTACCCTCCTTGCGCTGGAATTCAGCCCCAGTGAAGGGTACTGGAGCCCTTTGCTGCTCCCGGTGCAGCTTAAAGCCCCAAAATTGAAACTGGATATTCCGGAAATTCGTGATGACACAGGCTCCTGTAGCAAGTCAGATTTTCTCAAGCCTCAAACATTGACAGGCATCTTTGGCGAAACGGCGCAAAGCTGCAACCTGGAGACGATGATGCTTGACCGAACTTTTTACAATCCGCAACGAATATCGGCGAAAACGAGTCGGGATTTGCAAACGGTTGAGGGGAAGGGGGATGAAGAGTCGGCTTCAACACACTCACCTTTTACTGGTATGAGGTATCCCAACATCAGTCAAACGGACCTTCAGCTCATAGAGGTTTTGCGGCGCGGTCTGCACCCGGCTTTTCGTCGTAACCGTGTTCGATTTTTTGTCACGTTTTTTGTGGCAATAGCGGCATTTATTGTGGGTCTGGTGCTTATCATTTACGCTAGCGTTACCCTAGAGACATGCTGTCATCACGTTTCTTCTCGCGCCTGTTTGAACGGAGCGGAAGATCCGCCTAGAGATAACCTCAGTAACTTATTTTGCAGTGCTGCCAAGAATCCTGCACTTAAAGAAGCAAATCAGTCATTTTTCTTTGGTCATCTCACAAGCCCCGGTGGGTTTCTTGTTGCAGCAATATCTTGTATGTTTGTGTCGTCTCTTCTGGCAGGAGCGGTAAGTTATTTCACGACAAGGGCGATCGCTCAGAAAAATTCGCGTCCTTTTTTTTACAAACTCATGGTGGCTTTTCATGTAATTCTTGGTGCGTTTGCGTGTGCGTTTTCCGCATACACGTTGTCTATTTTTTCCCATACAGTGCATGAGGTACCTTGTTCGTTGTTTAGTGGAACAGTAGCGGCTTCCTGCAGCCGTTTCCAAGCACTCTATCCGGAATTTACGATTGATGTTCGGGCTCGCCATCCGGTGCACGCAGTCTTTGCGTTATCCCTTATCTTTCTTTTTTTTTGCACTGTGGAATTTTTTGCATCCTTGATGTCGCCTATGGTGGATGATGACATCCTGCATGCTTTGCAAAAGGCAAAGCCTGAGACCAACGTTTTTTACCCCAGTGTATACGCCCCTGATGGTATAACTGATGTGGAGAAACGAAAGCTGCGGGGACACATTGGTCATCTTCTTCATATGCAGCTTCAAAAGCAGATGCAGCAACAGGACACGCTTCTTACCCGGAATCTCACAATTGGTGAAATGATATTGGCCAAACGTGAGAAAAGTCTTATGGTTGGTCCGTCTCAGGGAAGTTTTGTCATGAATTCACGTCACTGGAATGAGGAGACGCCGCAAAATCCGCTGCACTACATGGCATACTCCGATAATACAGGCAGCGGAAGTAGCACGGACAGAGAGGAGGAAAAGAAAGAACTGGATGAAAGGGAAGAGAAGCGTGGACTGCCGCCTCGGCTACTTGCGGAGGTGGAGAAAATCAGTCGTCGTGTTAAAACATCGATGGATGGGAGAACAGATTTGGTTAAACCGCAGCTTCTCAGTGAATCACCCAAATAATTTTCTGTTTTTTTTTTTTTTTTTTTTTTTGTTGTTGTTGTTGCTTTGGGGAGAAGAGGAAGAGGAGAGACTTTTTATGAGTATTTTAAAGATGTCATCATCTCTTTGTTTGCTTTTTCCTTCCCTTTGCTATCTTTTCCTTGCTTTTTTATTTTTGTCTGTGAAGAACAGAGCAACTGCACCCGTTGAAATGGATGTGAAAATTAAGGGCGCCCATTTAGTCGGACGTTGGTTGTGGGATTGTCGCAATGATACATGTGGTATATGTCGACAACACTTTGAGGCGTGTTGCCCACAATGCCGCTTTCCCGGGGATGACTGCCCCATTCTAACAGGGAGGTGCACGCACACATTTCACATCCACTGTATTGAACGATGGGCCGAGCGCGAGCAGGGGAATGCAGCGTGTCCCATGTGTCGTCAGCCGTGGGAATTTTGACGCGGCAAGATTAACTGATCTTTGATGCAATGGAATTTGTTTCTTTCTGCTTCTTGCCCTTGTTTTTACCCCGCACCTATTATTTTCATGGTCATTAGTTATGCTTTGCTGCGTGTTGTTCAGTACTTCTTTTTTTTTGTTGTTGTTGTGTATTAAATTTTTCTTGTTTTTACTTTTTCTTTTTGCCTGTTTCTCTCCTTGTGGATGTCGTTGGGACCACAGGAACTGCAGGCTTGTGGATGATGCGGCGGTCAAGTGTCGCTCTCGTGGCTCTGGTGACGAGGGCGAAGCCATCGTCAAGTGCGTTGAAGGGAGAGGTGGTGGGCGGAACGGAGTCGGAGCAGCTCTCAGCATATGTCCCATCCTCGTCGGAGGCGCCCGAGCTCCTGCAGCCGTATGTGGAGCCGACACCGTTTGTTAGCGCGAGGCGTCTTCAAGTCTTTTTTGCCTCGATGGGCATTGGCGCCACCACCATCTGTGTGGTTTATTATCTCCTCAGCAAATCGATGAGCAACAATCATGAGGAAGAGCAGCGCTACTTGCAGCGCGTGGTGGAATCTAACCGTCTGGCAATGATGGAACCGCAGAGTCTCGTTCCCGAATTTACGGCCCCGAGTTCCTTCAATGAGCTGAAGGAAAAGATGCAACAACATGAACGCGAGCTTGAGCGTAAGCAAGCGCAAATAAACCGTAACACCATTTTGCTTCATAAGGAGGCCGTGTTTCGTTTGAAGGTTTGGTGGAATGCCTCTCTTACACACATACAAGAGGCCTTTGATCGACTTGGGACGGTGATTCAGAGGCGTAAGGAGCGTGCAGCAGAAGCCCACATCAAACGAATATTAGAAGAAGAGGGATACGAATTAGTGAAGCTGCGCAGTGGGAAAACACACATCTGGTAGGCGGATTGTTTGGGCAGCGCTCTCCATGCGGACACACCGAGCGCGGAGATAGAAAGTGGAGATGGAAAAAGGGTCATGTTGATGGTGGGGAGTTTAACAGACACACACACACAAAAAAAGGGTAAATGATGAGAGTGGAAGAGGGAATTATGGATCTCGTTACTGGATGAATGCGGATTCGAATGCGTCAGAGCAAATGTACGTTTTTCCCTGATTCGGGAGGACATTCCCACCACCATCTCCACCAGAAGCAGCGGTGTATTGTAACGGTAGCTGATGTTGACGTCATGTTGGATTTGCCTACTTTTTTTCCTTCCAAATTTTGTTTTTACCCCTCCCCCACGGCCGGAGTAGTGAGTGATGGCACCACGAAAGGTTTATGCGTGTTTTTTTTTTTTTTTTAGCAGTCCGATGGCGAGAGATAAAAACGCTCCTAGCGATTACTTGACAAACATGGCATGTTTTTTTTTTCTATTTTTTTTTTTTTTGTTTTTTTTGCACATTCTTTTTTTTTTGGTTTTGTTTTTGTTTTGCACTTTTTAAGGAGATAGGCTGCTTACAATGTTGGCTTTGGTAAAACGGCAATGCGGTCTGGAGAATAGCCATGCTTTCTACGGGGCCTACCATAGCGGGTGGCGAAACAAGCTGGCGGATATTGTTTGCATGCCGATCCTTTTTGTCGCCGCGTAGGGTCTTCTCTCGCAAGTTGAACTGACATCTTCCGTAGATTTGTCTCATTTTACCGCTTGCCTGTTTGCGGCATTTTATATACATACGGATGGAGTTTTTTGCTGGCGTCCCGTAAGCCGTTATCATTGGAATAATTGAGTACTTTTTCTTGCCATACCTGCAGTGGAGACCGTTGTTTTTTTATTTCAAGTTATTTGGCAGGGATTGCGGTGTAATTCTTTACGCATTGACGTCTTGAGAAGTGGACACCGGCGTTATTTGAGAATTTACCGCAAGCATCTTTTTTCTGTGGTTTGAGCTCCTCGTCTACTTTGGATACAGGCCAGAGCTGAGGAACAAAATGGACGCAAAAGTAAGGGAACTGCAGGCTTATTTGGATACAACGAAACACCAGTCCCAAAAAATTGCATTGTTATGGAAAAGTGAGTGATTATTATTATTATTATTTTCTTCTTTTTTAAGGAGCTGTGTGAAGAGAAGGATCGCGGGAGAGCTGGCAAACTTAATTAATGCATATATGTATCCGGGTAAAACGAATGCAATCCTTTATGACACTTTCCTACCGTATGAAAATTGGGAAGGTCACGACTTTTAGGAGGAGCGGGGAACCGATAGCGGCCGGTTAATTATTCATTTTTATTTTTGCCATCCCACCCGCCCCCTTTTGGTTCTTACCCTGCGGCGGGGTCTTGTGGCTGGAGGAGCCCAAAGTATGCCACTTCGTAAGTAATATAAATAAATATACAATAAATATATATGTACCATCCGAATAGGGTGAACGGGTCACAATTGTGGCTAACGGATGATATATATATATATATATGTGTGTGCTTACTTGCTGTTAAACTTTGAGGATATGGTGAATCCATTCTTATTCCATTTACTTCTTTTTTTATTTCCATCTTGTTTGTTTTCTATTATTGATAAACTCATGATTTGGCCAGCAGCCCAGGAGATTATTCTCTTTTTTTTTTTTTTTTTTTTTTTTTTTTTGATATTCCTGTTTCAGGAATTGGCGATTTTTTGTGTCCTTCTGCATATTTAACGACTGCGCATGTCTCTGCATGCATTATTTGCGTTATATGGAATTAATTTGTGTGTTCATGGCAAGAGACCGAGAGAAATATTTCACTCTGACCTCACTTTTTTTTCTTCCGTTCTGCTTTTTTGTAACGTGTCGAGAATGTAAAGGAGGTCCGTGTAGCGGTAAATACGTTGGATGGACGCAACATCTTTGCCGCCAACATGCGGTGAGGTGATGGATATACCAGGCATTCCCTCAGTCGGATGTGTGGCTGTCCTGCAGTACGAGATGGGAACCGCCGCTGGCTTTTCTTGCTGTGTTGTGGCCTCGAGAGAAGAGGTTTACATATTAGGGCCGGAATTACTCGTGCGTGATGGCTCACTCATCTCCGTACGAATATGGCGGCCTCATGTGGAAAAGAAACTCACTCGAGTGATGTCGCTTGTAGCATTTCTTTTGCATCCGGCAGCTGATGAGGTGTCTAATGTTTTTCAAAAGCACAAGGTCGAGGCAGAAATGGATGAGGTTTGTGCCGTGGTGGCATGGGAAGACGATGATGGACAGCAGCAGCAGCACATCACAACCCTCTTCTTCTCATTGTTGCAAGCACTGTCCACCCCTCAGAATGTCTCCGTCAAGTCGTTTGAGACTTCATTTTTTTATGAACGCAACCAACAACGCGTTTTGCGTCTTTTTTATAGTCCTTCCTTTTCTAGCGAGTTCCGTAAAGGCAAGCATGTTGTCCTCTGTAGCGGTTATGATGAAACTGTGAGGAAACACGCTTGTCTTACGCCTAGTGAAGAGCGCAACCGTCATATTCTTACACCAGGGGATCCGCGTGGTGTTTTATCAGGTATTTTTTCATTTGTGTTGTGCAATTCTGTGGTGGAGAACGATGTCTGTAGGTGGGATGTGACGTGGACTACCCACGCTCCTGCGTGGGTTGCATCCTGGATATTGCATTCTCCTTTTGATGGTGTTGTGTGTTCTCTTGCAGTTCAGAAGGAGGAAGCGTCTTCTGTTGTGGCGGCAATTGGAAAGACGAATGGCCAACTGATTCTTTTTCACGCTGACGGCACTCATGTTTCCCATCGCTTTGGTGGCCCCATTGCGGATCTTGCATTTGTGAGCACTCGGTGTATCAGAGGCGATGAGAGGTATCGTGTTTGTGCGGTCACGGAGCTCATAGGGCAGCAGAAGGAGAATGCATTCTCTAGCTTGAACAGAATGCCCGAGTTGGAAGTGGCAGATGATGGGCGGAGAAGCCTTGTTCTTCTTGACAGTTTGGGCCGTGTTATTGTCTTCCGGGACGTAACGGAGGGAATGGCGTCGGCACAAATTGTTTCAGATATTCAACAGTTTATCACTCTTGCGGAGAATCGAGCCTCCCACCCGAGCAGCGGCTCCGCTGCGGGAGAATCTGCAGCTGGGCGACCAGTTACCGTCAGTTCAAAGAGATTTTTTGATATTTCGTCACTTCGTCAGTTTTTTTACCGCGGGAAAACGAAGAGGATTCAAAAGGATAGACAGGACGACAAGGTGGACCCCATATCCACACAAGAAAGTGATGCCATTAGGCAACCAGAGCAAGAGAACGGAATGTTCGCTGGTCATATTTTGAGCCGCGGCCTTCTCAGCCTTGCGTCGCTGCCAGGACCACGAGGCTGCACCGAGCTCGTGGTGAGTACCATGGGCCAGTCCATTGTCTCCATTCCATTTGATAAGAACGAAGGTGTTTTTTCAATTGCGGGATTTATTGAAGCATCGGAGGCGATGTTTTTTATCGACTTTGTTGACTTTTTTAACACGGGGGTGACGGAGCTGGTGATGGCAGGGATGCATCACGTGTTAGTTGCAAGGCGATCGCGTTGCCAACAGAAAAGGAGGGCAGCGCTTCTGTTACGACTGTTAGCGAGGCAAAAGATGCAGGATGCTACGTCCGGAGATGCGTTGCTTGGGGGTAAAGTTTAAAAAAGTGAGGGTGAAGACAAGAGGGAAGGCAGAAATAATAACGATGCCACTTATGGTCTGGTGCGGCAGCGTGAATCACCGCACACAAACAAACGAGAATCCCAGGAGTTTTATTTAGCTACAGTTCCACCCGCTTTTTTGTACCTTTCAGCCTTTTTTTTTTCTTTTGTTTCTGCCTGTTTTTTTCTTTGTATCCAACAATTTATTTGTTGCCTTCATTTAATGGCATGCTGGGGATCTCAGAATGAGTCTCTTGCAGCATTTAACCTTGGATGCTCGTTCCCTCTCGTTCTTTTTATTTTTATTTTTTGCCTGCGTGTTGAGAGGGGAGGGGAATATTTATTTATTTACCCACTTCCTTCTTTGTGTTGGATGCATGTTCCTTTTGGCGGAGGTGCGGCGACGGCTGGCCTATGTGACACGCATGCTGGCGGGACGGAACGTAAAACCGCGGCATTTGTTTCAAACCAAACGCGGGCACAAAGACGGAAGACAAAATGTGTTCAGTTGAGGTTTCTTATTTTGGCGTCGTGTGTCTTTGTGGCGATCACACTTGTCTTTGTCGCGCTGGTGCTGGGCGATGCGAAGAGTATTCCGGAGAAGGCGGATGTAAGAAAGACCGCGAGAGCGAATAAGAAGCAAATAGCTCCGGATTGTTGGGCAAGGCCAGCGTGGAACGTGTCGCTGGAGATGGACCGTGCCCGAATGAAAATAAAAGCAGGCACGGGTTTTTTTGCTAAGAGCATTGACGAGTTAACCCAACAGGTGCCGAACATCACAAAACTCAATAAGAGTTGTCACTTTGCCTATCCACTAAGCAGGCATATCACACTTTTTGAATATGCGAGCAAAAGTGCAAGGGGAAAATATGGTCGAACTCCCGTGACATTTTTTGGTGCACTTCAGCAGGAGGTTGAGGGCAGGGTGGTTCGCTTCTCGGAGTCGCTTCCGCGTATTGTGAAACAGACGCCGGTGGTTTTGTTGCCTTTTTTTGACATAGGGAAAAGGTTTGGTCTGTGGGGTTCTTTTTTTTGTGGCCACCTGCCTGCGAAAACTGGTGATCAAGCAGACTTTGGAGGCCATGGTGTGGACTGGTGTTTGCCTTTGGAAGGGGGGTACAGTGGCTCTCAGGTTTTTGGGCCACAGCCCCCATTGTACGCGGCCGTTTTCCCCAATGCTGTGGTTTCCAATAGTCATGTTATTACATGTCATGGAAATGTGTACACAAGTGGGGGTTGTCTGAGACGTTGGTATCTGCCAGAAATCCAACGTACAAAAGAAATTAATTGGCGTGGTGTTGTTGTAGGCCTCTGCGATGAATGGTGCAAAGGATATTATCACTTTACACATGAGCATTTACCGCGTTTGGCGCTGGTGCATAAAATATTACTTGAAAGGGAAGACGCAATACTGGCACTTTATGCCCCCATTAAAAAATTTCAGCTACAGTGGCTCACAGATGTCCTTGGTATCCCGTCTTACCGTATACTGCGGAAGCCAGGCCCAGTGCATGGGCATTTGGTTCTTTACCCCATTCCAGGCGGTTGTGGGACGTTATTTACACACCTGACGTATGCGTTACGTGACATTGTCTTTGAGCGACTACAATTGGTGCCGCCCATTCCTTCCAAGAAGCGTAAACTTCGTCTTCTTTTTGCTGAACGTGAAAGACTGTCGAGGATGCCGTCCAATTATCGCCAACTGAAGAAGATGCTGTTGGAAGAATATAAAACGCATTTTGATTTTGGTGTTTTTTCTGGCAAGCTGCATATAAGACAGCAAGTGCGCTATTTTTACGATGCGGACGTTGTTATTGGCCCTCATGGGTCCAATCTTGCCAACGCAATGTGGATGCGTCACGGCACACATTTGATGGAATTTGTATCGTACAAGTACGCAAACATGTGCTATCACACGACGGCGAGTACCATTAATGTGACGTATCATGCCATTTTTCATAATGCTGAAAAGGAAGGAAGCTATGTCCTCTCTTACGATGAGGTAAAGCGTCACATGGACTATGCGGTGGAGAAGCTGCTCAAATCTCCGTGAGGGATTTCCCACTATTTTTATTAGTTTTGCTATATATGTTTGTGCTTGTCTGTGTGTTTGTCTGTGTGTGACTTTGTGTGTGCGTGTGTGTGTTTTGGGCGGGGGGAAAGGGGTTGTTTTTATTTTTATTTTTTATTTTTTCATTTTCTTTGTCTCGTTATTCGCTTTTTGTTATTTTTTTCCCCCTTTTATGAATGTACTTTGTGCAGCTCTCCACTTCTTTTTCTTACTTTTTTTTTCTTTGCTGTTTTCTTCTTCCATTTTCGTTTCCACTCGGTACTTGCTTATGCGGATGCCTTGTGGCTCTGGGATAAGGCGCCACAGTAGATGAAGAGGTTTTCCGGCTCCAAATACAAAAAATTCTCTCAGGAAAATGCCGACTACCTCTGCCAGGAGGTGCAGCGGATGGAGGAGTCCCAGGTGTTTTACCCCGGCGCATTCGTAGAGGCACTGCGAGAGCTGACGGAGGTTCTCATATGGAGCGACAAGAATGCCGAGTCGGTCTTTGATAACTTTCTGGAGCGCAGTATGATGAGTACGCTTGAGCGTGTCGTGACAAACGCGGAATTCCCTTCTGCGGTGAAGGTCCAGGCTATTCAATGTATCACGATGATGCTGCAAAACCTAACACGAAAATCATCCATATACTTTGTGTGCAGCAACAATCATCTCAACAGGATCATATCAATTTTCATCGATGACAATGACGAAGAACTTTTCTCCATTTACGTCTCATTTCTGAAGTCTCTGGCACTTCGTTTGAACGAGGACACGGTGCAATTCTTTTTTGAGCGTGAAACCCGCGCTTTCCCGCTTTTTGACAGAGCGTCCAAACTTCTTGCTGCACCGGATCCCATGGTCCGTGCGGCGGCACGACAAGTTGTCATTAGTGTCGCGCAGCTCAATGAGCCCGCCATTAAGAACTTTCTTAGAGACGCATTGCAGGAAGTGTTCAAGTTGATATCAACCCTCTTGTGGTCGCAGATTAAAAATCTGGCTGAAGCAGCAGCGGAGTACGGCAACGTGGAGCGTCACAATGCGAATGAATTACATCTCATGGGTATTTCTACCCTTAGTGATCGTTTAGAGGATATTGTGGACGATATGTTTTATATTAACGACCTCTTTTTGGTACCACATGACTTTGCTCCTTTCTGCTTGGAGTGTGTTCTTGAAGAGGTTGTTATTCAGCCGTTATTGATGTTACTCGAGAATCTGCCTTGTGACATTTGCTGTTTTTCTACAAACAGTTCCTTTACCCCTTGTGTTTCCGCATCTGTTGCGCTTTCTGTGCTCACCCGTTGGATCTTGTTGAATAAGTCGGAGCGGCTCCAACGTCTATTTAAAGAGGGACTGTTAAATTCCTCCGCTTCTCATGGCGGTGTAATGAAACGTTTGTTGAAAAGTGAATGCGCAGAAGTTCTTTCGGGGGTTGTCGTGCTGCTGAAGGCCATGTTAACATCAGGGCTTCTTGAAAATGAAAAGAAAGGGGGAGGAAATGGTCCGACACCTGATGGCGATGAAACGGACAACGAAGATATCTTGGAGGAGGCGTTGGATGAGAAAGAGATGCACGTCATGACTGACATTTTCAATGTCAACTGGAGCATTGAGCCAGAACACGAGGATTCTTTTCCTCCACTGCAGCCGCTGTCTATAATTTCTTGCGAAATATTTATAGGTCGTATGAGCCAACAGGTGGAGAACGCAGTGAGATGCCCGTGGTTTCATGGTCTAATGTCAGCAATCTACTTTTTTATTGCGCATCCTGCATATACTCGTTTTTCTGTTTTTGAATTGGCGCTCGGTATTCTTATGGATTTTGTGAAATGTAGGCGGGAGCGTGTTGTTCTCTTCCGGGGGCTTTTGTTTCTTTGCCTCTTTATCGTCCGGCGTCGGGCAGTCACGTGCGCCGAATCCTCGGCGTTGCGGCAGGATGGCAATGTCACTTCCGCATCAACCCCTGCTGCTGCTGCTAGTACTACTCCCAATTCCGTTCATACCACAACCGCAGCCGGCAACAAAAACAACAAGAGTGCCGGTGCGTGGTTGAGGACTCCATACGAAGTTGTATTTATTAAACTGGAGCATGTATCTCATGAATTTGGCCTCCGTGAAGAAAAATTGCGTGGGAATTTAAGTAAGGAGGCAAGTTTTTTGCTGCCACTCCTGCCCAGTCTTGATTTTATCAGATCCGAACGAGAGAGGGGAAGTAATAGCCCTCATGTGGATTGCTGGGACGTTGTGCTCCGCAACTTCCGAGAGTACATCGCGGTACAGAAAAGTGTTGCAGCGGTCGTTCCACTTCGAAATCGTGCCGCACATGACCAATCGGAGGAGGAGAAGAGTGAGTTTCTGATGTGGTTAACTATTCGTCATTACGCCCACAGGATGCTCAATAGAGAGGATGGGTTTTTGCTTAAACTCCGTGATTACGGTGTTCGCCACCACGTGGGGACGACTGTGAGCCTCTCACGGAGTAACACGGTTTATTTTCGCTGTGAATTTGTTAAGGGGCGCTTTCTTTTTGGCGCATCATCACCAATGGTGGCTGCAGGCACACCGATGTACATGCTTTTATCTGAAACTGAAGTCCTTTTTCTTGGCGCAGGGGACGCGCTGCGACCAGTAACAGATCGGGGGGTCACACTTTGTGTTATGTTTGCTCTGCAGATGATTTACGTGCAGGCGCTGGTTTCGCAGTCTCCATTTAGTGTTATAGTCACCCACGTGCACCCTGCCTCTCCCCTCCAGCTACATATTGTGTTTCGTCACCGAAAGGCAGCCGCTTCCGCTGTAAATATGATTACGGAACTTTCTTCCTTGTGCCGGTTTAATGGAGCCGCACTTGTTTGCCGAGCACTGAACCAGGATGGAGCTTTACATGTGACGAACGAAGGGGTCTCCAAGGCACCGATGAATTCCTTTAATAATGCGTGAAAGTATTGAACTGTTTTGCGTCACTCTTCATCCTCTAGCTTTTATGACTTTGTGCCTGAGGAGCTTTGATATTGTCACGCTCCATCATTCTTTTTTTTTTTTTTTTCTCGTTTCTCTTGCCGTGCTTCAGTCTATTTCTGCCCTTTTCCTTCTATATTCCTCTCATGATGTTGCTTGGCGTCGTTCCTGCAGGCTGGCGATGGTTGAATGGCGGCGGGCAGCCGTGTCAACTTCTTCCGACGGATTTCTGCTGTTGGTCCTCCTCCTCCTCCTGCCTTCTTGTCGCCCACTGCCTTTGCGTCAGACCGCACGTTAGAAGAAAAGGAGAAGGAAAAAAGGAAAGAGAATAATAAACAAATAAATAAAAAGGGAAAAGCGAACCAAACATAGGAGGGAAAAAATAAATAAATAAATAAATAAAAGGAAAATCAAACTGAAACATTTGGCTGAAATTATTCTTTTACACGCGATATCTCCCACCATCACTGCGGCCGCTGGCATCTGACAAATTGGGGCATTTATGGTTTGTTGAAATTGCAAGGCATGAAGACAACGGCATCATTCAAACGGGGTGAAATAATTTCACCGGTTCCGGCAGACTACATCGTTGAGCAAGACGCGCTTGTTCTCTCGGATGGCTGTCGCCTGAGACACGAAACAGGATTTAACGCCACAATCATCAGCCGCTTTCTTATTGCCACGACGGACCTTCAAATGGGCGAGGAGGTATTGGTCAATCTCAACGTGCTTTTCTACGACGTGGGAGATGAAAAGGCATTTTTGTTTTCAGGGTTTAAAAATCTCGCGGAGGAGGAAAAGCAGGAGGTCTATATGTATGCGGATGAAAATGTACGGCAACAGGCGATCGCGGACGGGTTTGTTCCAAATCGCAAAGAAAGTGGGATTGACGTGGTGCGGACACGAAATTCACAACTTGTGACCGTGTCGAGGGGGAGACACGAAGTAAATAACATCGTATTTAGCTCCACTGGTGTTTTGCTTCCATTCCCAGTGCGCAGTACAGTTGAGCTTCCGGGGGACCAACACCTGCGTCTTACGGGGGGATCAGAGTTTATCCGTCACGCCTGTCAGCCAAACCTGCGCCTTGCGATTGAGGGTGACTCCATACACGGCATCGCTCTGCGATCCATAGAAGGGGGAGAACAACTGACATACAACTACCTATGCACAGAGTGGGATATTGCAGAGCCTTTTCATTGTGCTTGCAACACAGATTCCTGTTATAGATTTATAAGAGGATTTCATTATTTGGATGCAGAAGAGAAGGTACTTCTATTTCCAAGCGTAACTGCGGCAATTCAAGAAAAGTACCATGCAGCACTCCCACAAACTGCTTCTTTGGCATCCCTTGAAAAAACAACGGCAATAGCAGTTACCCTTGAGGGAAAGGTCGCTGCCCAACGATATGTGGCCTCTGGTAAAGTATTGATGAATGTCAACCGCTTTTGTGTACGTTCTCGAGAAGTTGTTCTTGACAGTTTGCACATTCCACATAGTTGTGACGCAAATACCGCTCTGTTGGAAGGCCGTTTGGTGGCATCTAAGCCTCTCCTTTCCGGTGACCCGCTCACACTGAACCTTTGTACATTATTTTATGAACTCCCGCTTCCCTTTGAATGCCACTGTGGATCTTCAAATTGTACTCGTCTTGTTAAAGGGTTTTCTACACTGAGTGAGGATGATAAAAGTGGTCTCATTCCACTTGCTGAGCGATCCGTTCTCGTGGAAGCGGCACGTCATGGTTTGAATGTACAAAGCTCCAGTCCACTTGTAAAGATAAGGCGGTATCCTCCCATGGGAGAGGTAACGTTTGCTGCAGATTTTATTCCAAAGGGTACTCGTATTTTTCATATGAGAGGCCTTGTTATCCCCTTTCCAACGGTTTATACGGTATACCTTGGGGACGGCAAACATTTACTTTTTGCAGACGGGGCGCAATGCTTGGCGCATAGTTGTGACCCCAACACGCGTCTTTCTATAGATGCCTCAAATGGAACCGCCAGTTGTTTTGCCATGCGTGACATTGAACCAGGGGAAATTGTTTCCTTCAATTATCTTACCTCCGAGTGGGATATGGCATCACCATTTAGGTGCGGCTGCGGAAGTGCATCATGTTTCAGTATGATAAAAGGGTTTCGTCACTTGGATGAGGAAAGCCAGTTGCGCCTCTGGCCTCATGCAACCAGTGGTGTGAAATTTCTTTTTGCCCAGCACCGTCGCAGTGCGCTGCCGAATCTTGACAACTCGTTGGTCTATCTTCACGAAACTTTAGGTGAACTGCGTCTGGCGCGGGACTTGTCATCGGGCGTGGTACTTTTTACTGCCACAACATTTTGTATTGCTGCTGGGAAAGTTCTCTTGGACGATGTGCGACTGAAGCATTCGTGTAGTCCCACAGCTGTATTCCTTGAGGGACGCGTTGTGTTGAGTCGTGCCTCACTCCGAGGGGATGCCGTAACACTTAATATTAATCACTTGGTCTACAATAGCCCGGTTTTTACATGCCATTGTGGCTCGGCGAACTGCGTCGGTGAGGTGCGAGGATTCGCTGGTCTCACAGACGAACAAAAGAACACGGAGATGGTGTATGTCGATCCAAGGGTGCGGGCGGCGGCGGTGGAAAATGGATACCGCATCCAAAGCTCATGTCCACTGGTGGAGGTGAAGCCAAATGGATTTATGGGACAAGCGACATTTGCAAAGAGTGACATTCGGGAAGGGACTCGTTTTTTTGAAGTATCCGGTCTTGTTCTTCCCTTTGCAACAATTTACACAATCCTTCTGGTTGATGAGCAGCATCTTCTTTTTGCGGATGGGGCACAGTGCTTGGCGCACAGCTGTGATCCAAATGTCCGTGTCATCACAGACAATACGAGAAAACGAATTGGATGTCTTGCTCTTCGGGATATTAAAAAGGGTGAACTCATTTCTTTTAATTATCTTACAACAGAGTGGGATATGCAAACGCCATTCACATGTCTTTGTGGCGCACCGCTGTGTTACCGTGAAATAAGAGGTTTTAAGTATCTGGGAGATGAAGCGCGACAAAAACTATGGTGTATGGCGACGCCAGGGATTAAATCTATGGTAATAGCTACAAAAGCGGAAGATACATGGGCCCAGATTGCATCTACACGTTTTTTTGTCAGTAACGATGGTCTGTTGCACGCTTCGGAAGATATGAAGGAGGGAACAGTTCTTATGAAAGTTTCCTGCATGGAAATTGTAAGGGAGTTTCTCTCTCTTGATGGAATTCGAATCCGTCATCATTGCTCACCCAATGTAGCCGTCATTGAAAATCGAGTTGTCTTGATTTCTCCTGTTTCGGCAGGGGAGGAAATAAATGTCGATCTAAATTGCTTGAGTTATTTACTTTTGGAGGCGTTTGAGTGCAACTGTAGTCAATTCAAAAGCCCACATCTTATTCAAGGATTTAAATGGTTGAACGAAGAAAAGAAACATGCTTGCATGATATTCACAGAGCCTAGTGTACGCGCTGCAGCTCTGAAGGATGGTTACAAAATGAAGTGTGATTCCTCACTGATTAAAATATGCGAAGGTCGCACGGGATTGGAGGCACATGCCACTGCGAATATACCCGCTGGCACTCGTTTTATGACAATCCAAGGTCTTTGTTTACCGTTCTCGACAGCCTGCACAGTACAATTGTCGGAGGGTAAACATCTTCTTCTTTTTGGTGGGGCGCAGTTTCTTTCTCATAGCTGTGATGCAAATATTCGTCTTCGGGTGGATGCGGTAAACAACACAATTGGATGTGAAGCCCTGCGCGATATTTCGGTGGAGGAACTTGTGTCCGTCAACTACGTTGCCGTGGAATGGGATCTAAGTGCCCCATTTCACTGTCTCTGTCACAGTCCCAAATGCTTACATGACATTCGTGGATTTAGGTATTTGTCTAACGCACAACGGTTGGCATTTCAAGGACAAGTGACACCCGCCATACGCCAGTTAGCTGCTTCCCATGCCATTGTTAATTTGCCACCCAACGTTAAGGGCAACACCGCGGGAATGTTGCAGGTAACAAGCCCTGTAACCCGTGGAACTGTACTTGTGGAATGCACGGATATGGATATTCAACCAACGCAAGTTTCTCTTGGAGGCGACTCTTACATCATACGACATAAGGAAGATGCCAATACTGTGTTTGTGGAGGGTCGTTTTGTCACCAAGCGTAACATGGAAGAAGGGGAATTCCTAACGGTTGACATGAACTTCTTTATATACGATACTTCATCCCTTTTTCCGCTTGCTTTTGCGGAGGGATGTCAAGGATTTTTCCATCTTCCGGAAGTTACAAAGCAGAGCCAGTTATATTTATGTGAACCATCCGTTCGTGCGCAGGCTATGCAGGATGGCTGGATTGTCAAATCCTCATCGCCATTGGTTGAAGTTCGTCGAAACGGGGAAATGGGGCAAACCGCTTATGCAGCCGCAAATATTGCCTTGGGTGAAGTGCTGTTTCACAGCACGGGGCTTGTTGTACCGTTTCCTACAATGTACACCATCTGTGTCGGAGAGAATAAACATCTTTTGTTTGGAGATGCTGCCGAATGTATTGCCCACCACTGTGACCCCAATTTACAAGTGGTGGTACACGAGGAAAATGGAACGTTTGATTTTGTGGCGCTTCGATCCATTACGGTAGGAGAGATGCTGAATTTTAACTACTGTACCACCGAATGGACTATGAATTCGCCTTTTGTGTGTCTCTGTGAGTCTGTTCATTGTGCGGGCACTATACGTGGTTTTTTACACCTGAAGGAAACGGACCGCCAGCGTCTCTGGCCAATCACAAGCCCCGTGGTCAAACGGTACGCGAGCAGAGAAAGTTATTGAATGCATGTTGGAAATATTGCAATATTTTTTTCTTATTTTTTTTCCTGGAATTTACATTTATATATGAAGGTGTCTTGTTAGAAGCTTCTGCAAAGGATGTGCGACCAACTGAGGCCAAATAAATGACAGCGTGTCTTTTTGAAAGATTCTTTTTTTTTTTTTTTTTTCTTTTTGCAGCAATGGGAGGGGGAAGAAGGTCTCATCCAGACGCATATTCTTCCGTTTGTCGTTATTAACTTTTTGCCTTTGTTATTGTGAGAGGTGACAAATTGTCGTTAGGAAAACAAATTTTTTTTCAGGCTGGTGTGTGTGTGAATTTATTTTTGAAGGATTTCTCCCCGTGTTGCTTTTGTGCGGAGATCATTGTTGAATGTGTCGCGTCTCTTCTCGGTTGAATTTGTTTTTCTTTATTTTTCTTCTTCTTCTCCTCTGCTGGAAAAAAAAAAAAAAAAAAAAAAAAAAAAAAACAGGCGTGTGAAATTCAACGCTATTTGTGGAGGGATCACACACAAATACTCGCATTGTTTATTAGGCAACCGCAGTGGCGAGGAGGGAGGGGGAATTTTGATGACGACACTCACTCGGAAGCTACATTTTTACAAAAATGATGTGACGAGGGGTTACACCAACCCGATGCGACGATGGGTGTATCATTATTTGTTTGCTGGCCTTGCAGTTGGCGGGGGAGTGTGTCTGTGGGGGAATTACCAGCTTGCCGCGTGGGAGGCGCTACGGCATCCTGAAAACGGCAATCGCCTTTGCTCCACTGCCACCTTGGAGTTTTTGCTCCTCCTTCCTTTGAATTATGCTTCTCACGCGTTTGGGTGCCTTAGCGAGAGTGGGTACGTCTCCGAATCCGTTCACCGCTTTCTTATCAAGGCTATCGTGTGGTGGTACAATATTGACATCACGGAGGGTAAGCAGCAGCAGTTTTCCACCTTGCAGGAATTTTTTGTGCGGGAATGGAAGAGTGAAGCACGGCAGCTGGCCTCGGCTCCAATGACTATGCCCTCAGATGGAGTTGTGCTTTCAGTTCAAGAAAATGTTCAGGAGGAGCAGCTGGTACAGGTGAAGGGGATGACGTACAGCATCCGGCAACTTTTTCATCGCTCCATGGGCCCGGTGGCGGAGGGGCAAAAACGAGT